TATATATATAGAGCTGTTATTTTCCTGTGCCGCCGCTAGCGCCACATTTTCGTTCCCTCATTAATTGTGAAATTTTTTTCAATCCCTAAATGCATCCGACTAGCTACAACGGTATCTGTACTTGTTAGGAATAAATGCGAATTAGTGTTGGCCGTAATCCGTTCGGCATACAATTGTTCATTGATCTTCAATATCATAGAACTCTTTGAGCGCTCTCTTGCTTACATGATGTCATTATCTTGTTATGTTCATCGTGGACAACAATTAGCTTCTACCCTCATTTTTTTCCAGTAAGTTTACATGGGGTTAGGACATGCTTATCGCTTGCTCTCAGATAGGCTCAACAACACCGGGTATCGGTCTATATTCGTGTCTGCCCATATTCCTACGGCCGTACTTATTGCTCTCACTGCCTTTCTGTCGTCGCGACACACAGATAGGTATAAATTACCGTTCCGTAAATGGAATAGCAAGAAAGTGACCGATTATTATTTACCTGCGTAATGTTTTTCTTTTGCTTAGTGCTGTAAATCAAGAAGCGTGTATCAGTTCTCTCTAGTCCGTCGCGTCGCGTCTCTTTGACTTTTGCTTTGCAATCACTTGTATACGCACATAAAGTCCCTATTAATGTCTGTTGCATTATCGTTGATAATATCTATTCGAAAAAAACTTCGAGAACCCAATTACCATTGGACAAATTGTAGCGGTAGTAGCGATGATATTGATCGATTCGTATTTGTCGCGTTTCATGAATGAATGCTGCGTCCCCGTGAAGCCCGTTTCTGCGTGTTTTCTGTGCGCCCACGTGACACCCATGCCCTTCTAGCCATTCGGCGCGAGCAGCATCGATTGAGAGGTACGTGTCCACACAAACATAAAACTCAACGTTATTCATACACGTATACTCCACAGGGAATCACACACTAGTACCTTTACGTATACAATATTTCAATTAATAATAAGAATTTTTAAAAAGGCACTTTGACAAAGAGCCGACCACCAGTCGGCTGTGGTGAACGAATCCGGCGACGTTTGTCGTGTGTTTATATCGGTTAAATGATCAGGTATTCTTTTATATGTCTTTGTATCGATTATTCTGGATCTAATCGTTGTAGATATTTTTATCTTACATGGAAAATTGCCGACAAACATCATGCGACGTCATAGATGCTTTCATCATACAGTATCAACCAATCGGCCCTTACTTTTACTACTAACAGTAATATTTTTATCGTTTTATTTATATATAGCGTCTTTTTGCCGACATCATTGACAACTATTTACAAAAGACTCACAAAAGCCTATTCAACATATTGGTGACGATATATTATAATCACTTTATTTGTAGTTATTATTATTTTTGCTAATGTCCATTACGACAAATATAATCATAATGAGTTTCCATTTCTTTAATCTATCTACGGTAACTTCTACATTGGGTTCGACGACATTATTTAGGAGCATCCCTGTGCCATTGAATTTATTGGCTATTAGCAACCTCACACCGTTGTGTCGTTTACCTAGCCTAACATTATATTGCGGCGAAATTGTTCCGAGATACGCCTCGACCACGACAAATCAATGATGGACCTAACGAGATAGTTAGCTTCTGCAAGTAGGTTTTCGTCCTCTGCCCACTCGTCTCTATTTATACCATACGAAAACTATATTAGGACAATAAAATAATAACGTTAGAGTGAATAAGTATCTCTAAACTTGCAGGATTTCGGTCGACGTATGCAGATGCGTCAATCTGTATTGATAAGACATGTCTACGACGTGCGATAAAAACAGAAAGCCCCACGACGGCACGGTGCATTGATGTAGAGGTATATACGAAAAGGAATAATTTACGTGAAAAAACCGCTTCCTCACTAAAAAAATATGTTTGTGTTTTCTCGTAAAAATCAGTTAAGTCAGCCATTACGCTGTGGCGGATCGTACGCGACGGCAACAGCTGTTGCGCCGTTAGTAATATTTGGGTGTCGCTGGATATCGCTTCTCGGTTGTATTTTCCATGAGGGATTGTGGATCACACATGGAACGAAGGTTCAACTGGTGTTGATGTGTCATATCCGTGATCTTCATGTTATATAAACAGAATAGTTATCGCGGATATCTTTTTTCATAACAGGCGTTCCGATGCTGTAAAATGTATATTGCACTTAATACGGGTCTATAGAAGACAGCTGTTTCAAATCAGGGGTCAAATTGAGGCGGGGTAAGGGTACTTGACGCTACGCTTTATAGGCCCTGAAAGCACTCAGTATTCAAATGGTCAAACGATACACCTGGGCGCACCGAAACGGCATCTATAGATAATGAAAAAGTCATTTTAAAAAATACACTTCTGACGATTACCTCTACATTGGCATTTTGAACCTAAAGGCACTCTTTGGTGCTAAAGATCCGGCATCGGTTACCTGTCCATATTGAGCGACAGGACTGATTTCCCTTCGTGTTACAGTTGGGCAAGGTTCACCTTATATATCTGGCTGCATAGCTAATCTTTTGTACTTTAGCATGATCGTTGACACTGTAAGAGAAGGAATTAAGTGAAAGATCGGGCTCAAAGAAGCCGATTAAAATTCAATTGAAATATTTTGCTTTTTTCTGGGTGCATCTCGTACCTTTTTCCCACCTTCGTTATACGAAACCTCCCCTGCCCAGTCCTATGACTCGGACAAAGACCTGTGAGACTATTCAAACGCATTACTTTTTTTAGATTGGCAAATCTATCATCTATATTTCCTACTGCTGTTAACGTTCGGCTAATTTTTATGCTGTTCTTTTTCGTCTTTGTTTTACCTACGTTGGACTCATTCCTTGATCCTATTCATAATAATAGAATTGCTTTTGCCAGCGTTTAAAATAGGTGCATTTCAATCAATGTCTTGTCAAATCGTTTGATTCGCAAAAAGAAATTAACAACTTCACCAGACCTGCTCCACTATCGAGGCTACTGGTTTCAACACGTTTATCACGTTGCTATCATCATCCGTGTCGTCGTCTGCTTCTCACGGTAACGGACACGAATTCGCAGTCCTCAGTCGCCTCCTGTCCGCTTCCAGTCGAACAGCTAAATGTCACGAGCCTCTGATTGGTGAGTCAAAATTAGTTATTTTGCTTGCCTTCTTTTGCCAAGTCTCTCAGGCTTCATTTCCTTTGACTGAAAATTCAATAATGATTCCGCGGCTATCGCACTGCTGCCCTTGCTTGGTGCGATGGACGACTGTTCAACGCGTCATCGCTCGCCCACCGCGGACTCGTGATGACGGCTCCATCTCACCAACGAAAGCGATGACTTTTCGTGTTACGAGGCCGCCGCCGTCGCCTCCGTTCTGGTCATCATCGAGCGTCATCAGTTTCGATCATTCGTTTCTCCGGTCTGCGTGTGTGCCACCGACGAGGAGACGCTTCCCAAAGAATATCAGACCTTTACCCCAACTTGCGCTTTTAGGCTTCCGTCGAAATGTTAACCCATTGGGAGTCGTGACGGATAGTACCCAGTAGCGATGGCGGGCGAAGAGAAGAGGAGCAATCCTTGTGGCTCATAATATTTTGCAGGGGAAGGCGCCAAAGCGCATGGACAGCCAAAATGCACACACAAATATGGTCCGTTGAAGTTATACACCGAGGATTTAGTCGAGAAGGCTCAATTCAGACAATCCAGACGATTACTGCTGCCAATGACGCCATTAGCGTAGTCTAACTCGAGCCGAAATAGTGGCCGATGGGATGTCGCGACGTGGGATTCTAACAAATTCTCGAGCCAAACTTGCCTCTGCGATCGTTACTGCGGGACGCATGAAAGCCTCTGAGGCGCTGAGTAGTACAAACATACTGCCTCTATAGGCATCGCACAGAGAGTGAACTGCAGCCGGCTCATAATGCCAATATCTATCGCATGCCCTACAATATGCTAACTACGGGCGACGAATTACCTTGGCTTAGTAACGTTCTGTCTGCTACGAAACTGTCAAACTTTTACGGAATACTTTTTCTTTCTGGGATCTGATGAACAGCAATGGAATTGCTCATTGCAAATCGTCTATTGGCATAAGTAAATAAATGTATTGTAATTGGGCTGGCTTATTGGCGGGCGACTACTGCCCTGAGCGATAACAGTAACCCACTTTGATGGATGGCTATGTCAGATGCAATACGGTCTAAGTCAAATCAATACGCGTTTATGATGTAATGCAAATAGCTAACAACAGAACATAATGCTAGGATACACGTTACCAAAGGTTAGTTACCTGTCTGTAAACTGAACGATGTAACACGGGCCCGATAGTCAGCTGAATAATTAGCTGTAAGGATACTGCTTTGAAGTAGATATAATCTATACATGGAACAACACGGAACAACGAAGCTCTGAAGCTATTCACCTCGACTGAGAACCCAATCGTCACTTGTTAGACTGGGTACAAGATTACTGGCAATTTAAATTGTTTGTACCAGTGTTCTTGAGAAGCGTTACGTTTCGAACCAATAAGCAGAATATAATATATGTGTGACTTCATCATCACTCGCAACATCTTTTTGCTTCAAACGCTATATGGCTCGTATAGTAGCATCTTCTAATACTATAACAGCAGCTGCTGTGACGGCTGCCCAACACTGATTTCTGTTCCACGAAAGGAGAATTGAAGCTCTTTTACGAAACGTCCACGGAATCGTCGAATAGAATCAATCAAGCTACCTTCCGCCGTTGATTGCTTTGCACGTCGTCGTTTCCTAAGAGGTGAGGATAGGACTCGTCCTAGTTCCGTGCTTGATCTTATGGCGTCATAGGCACACTTATTGCTGCTTGGTGCGCATCCACTGCTGCACTTCTCGATCATTGATAATCCCCATCAGCAACACTAATCTGCCGTTTTTTAACGATCGCCTGTGTTTCTTGCTACTCAATCGGTTTTTGGTGCCCTCGTTGATGCTGCTGGTACCGCCGCCGCCGCCGCCGCCGCCGCCGCCACCACGCCGTCCACGAGATGTTCCGCAGACACCGTTTTAGGCGCGAATTCGTATATGGAACGGGTCTCTACGATAAAGGATTATGGATACAACAACAACTACAAAAAATGAAAAGCTGAAATAGGAGTTATTTCCCATTTACCCCGAGCGCTGTTACATCTACCACTGTCACCGTGTCGTCCCCGGATGTTGACTATTTTATAAGACAATCCGATTCCGAAATGAACAGCGCATACGCAGCGTAGCATCGTCGGCCATTAACGAAAGCCAGAAGAAAGAGTAAGCAATATATGGATCGAGCAAAGTCCACGCGGCGTTCCGGCGATTGTAATGATGGTTATGACTCGTACTAAACAGCGTAGATCTACGAAAGGAAGAATACGGCACGGAACATCCTTTTTTACAGCTGCTGCCAACGGCGTATGTCGCGGATAAACCAGGAATGAAGACACGAGTCATCATCATCGGTTTTAACGGCGACTGCGGGGGAACCAAACTGACCCCTCACAGAAACATACACACACCTTCGATCACATTCGGGTACACATATAAACACACACATACACACACGCCCATGGCGGCGTACGTTTACCATGACGCAGCAGGAGCAGCATCAGCAGCGGTGGCAACGGCAACAGGAATCGGGAAAGGCCGCTTGTCATCATCCCTTTGGCAATACCGATTACCTTAATGAATCCTTAGTATCTTCATGGATCACGTTGTTGTGTTGCGAAATAATAGCGATTGCTAGTAATAATCATAGCAGCAGTAGCAACACTCAATGGAATGGAAAGAAGCGACAGCGCAGTATTTTGCACTCATACAACGAGCGAGTTTCTGCGCGTTCTGGTGAGATACCTATATATATTTATATATATATATATATATATATATATATATATATATATATATATATATAGTAGCGCTAAGTCGAGATGATGATAATAGTGCGAGTGAGTAGCCAAAACTCGATAGGAACCGTGAAAGAGACCATTTACGAGACGTCGCGCGAGAGAGAAACGAGGAGACGAACGACTTCGAAGTGTCTATCACGAGGTGGCAATCGTCCCAATATCAGCACCAGCAGTCGTCATCCTGGGGTTGACGAAACGGAATAATAAAGAACGAATGAGCCCGAAAAGGGAAGGAAAATGGCGAGAGAAAGAATGATAAGGTACAACAACAATAACAACAACAACAACAACAACAACAACAACAACAATAATAATAATAACAACAACGACGACGACGACAGAAACAACGACGATAACGAAAAGAGAGCCTGATCACGACTTCAAATAGTGTATCCATACGCAGTATCCCGTAGCAGCAGAAGAGCATGGCTCTGCAGTCTAACTGGGAGGCCCTCTACGAAGACGGTAAACCGGCGATGGACACACAAATGGGCCCAGACAGTGAAGAAAGTCGGTGACGTACCATCATTTTACTTCATCGTTAAGGAGAGCAGATCACGACCCTGCGAAGTTATGATGAGGGTGACAGCCCCCCACCGAGGATAGTTTAGCCTTGTTTGTTACTCTTTAGTCCGCTTAGATTGCTTTCTATGAGGCTATTTCAGTGACGGCTCGGTCTTTTGGTCTACGTATGTGCGATTCCTGGACAATTTTCGCTAGGCCATTTTTCCAAAGGGATGATACAGATAGGACTAAAAAAGGAAGAGGAACACACGGAAAAGTATGTATGTAAATTTTATATTCCGAAGACTTATGTAAACGTGGTCGTATGTACCGTCGTGTAATTGTGTGCCTATCTACCATTGCATGTTTATATATTAAACACGTCTTTGCATATAAAGTAACGATTAGTTTAAAAGTTGCCGATAGATTTCCATTTATATTCAGTTATACGGCTGTTGCGATTCGTTGAAATTCAGGCTTAAACGTGCCTATTCAGGTTCAGCCCGGGACTGTGCCGCCAGTACTATCCAATTTGTTTACATTTGTACGACCTATACTGACATGAACTGTTTTCAAGACGACCTGTTAGAAAGTCTCATCTGTTTCCACGGGAAAAACATTTACAAGTTTCCGCCTCTAGACACGAAAATGGGGCTGCAAAAAAACTGTGCCGAACGAAAGACGGATCCAGCTCCCAAACATTGCCAGTATCTCGGCGTCAAAGTGACGCTTTGTTTCAGTCTCTCGTAATATGAGTAGATGGGATAAACGGGTAAATTCTATTGACCATCATTAGAGGAGATCACGACATTATCTCGCGAGTCTCGGCGAGTGCGTTGATAATGTTATCGTTTGGTGGTGCTTGCTGTCCGCTGGGGGTCTCCTGTTCGGCATCGGACCGAAGAAAATGGCGCGAATCTAACGCAGGCTGATTCATGAGGTACATGTACGCTGGAGTATCCTGTGGATAATACGCGCCCTGTTCAGTTGAAGCGTAGGGGTGAACCGGGAACGACTGCGAGATTGCCGGTAGATTTGGAATGCCGGTCAGCGTCTGTTGATACGTACGTTGGTAGTACTCAAGACTCGAGGATGGTTGACGTTCTTCGAAATAACTTGCGACGACAGGCTGCTGAGAGTAGTACGGACTCTGTTCTGGCAGGAGCGGACGGGGTAGTTCGGTGACAGAGGCAGGAGCCTGCCGGAACGGTTGCCGGATGTTCTGAAGGTATTGAGATCCGTCGGCGTTGAACTTACGCAACAGTTGATTGAAGGCGTATGGCTCTTTACCCGCCTGGTAGGCAGGGAAATCCTCAGCTTCAATAGGTGACATTTCTGGCGTGAGCAAGCTTTCCTCTGTAGTGCCAGGAGCAGATCCTCCTGTGCTAACCGTTGTAGAAGTTTGAGTAGTTGTTGCCGGTAGTTCGCCATAGGGCGGCACTTGAAATTGACCTTGATGAACAGATTCGGCCTGGCGCCGTAAGGCATCTGAGCATGGGCTCCCGTGCGGACTTGAGTCCGGAGTTGTCTGAAGGAACTCGGTTGTCGCTGTCGATTCATACCTATTTAAAAAAAGATTAACAGTGTCGTCAAACCATCGCTAAACCACTATATTCGTAATGTTGCTTTTAGTTGAGATGGATTTTTTCATAGTATCGCGATATGAAGAAACTGATACACATAAATTATTACATAAAATAGTGAATCCTCGAACAGTGATAACAATCTTTGCTTTGGGAACCCATCTACTATTAATCAGCCCAACTCTGCGTTACTTTAGTTTCTACTGTAACAGTCGCAGAAATTGCTATGATTCACAAGTGTTTTCTGGCTATCGTTAGTTGCTCGGGTTTACCTGAAATTAGGGAATTCAGCCGGCGGTGTTGGGGTACCAGGGCTCTTGGTGCGCTGAGCAACAGTTTGCGGTAGAGCATTCGGTACTCCTTGCGCCCCAGGAGTTCCAGCCGAATTTGGTCCTGCAGGTTTTTTCGTCTGTTTCCTCCGACGCGGGCGATACTTGTAGTTGGGATAATCCTGCATGTGCTGTATCCGTAAACGCTCCGCTTCTTCGACATAGGGACGCCGCTCTTGAGGTGAGAGGTTCCGCCATTTTTTTCCTAAAACATCAGGTAAACATCGACACCGCATAAGTGGGGCTATTTCAACAGAGCTCGCACGTGAATATTGCGTTGAGTTAAAATGCCGAGTTCAAGTTAACTGGACTTATAGAAAAGCTCTAAAGCTGCACTAACTTATATTTTTTACTCTTTATAGCTATGCGTACCGCCCGAGTGACACCGTTACTTGACCCATGACTTATAGGGTATGTTACTCACTATTCAGAGGTAACATGATTGTTTAGCACTATATCATCCAAGACATAACGTCGAGTTGTCATTTTTTTTCTCTTCGTCTTTCTCTCCCCAACAACGGTGCAAATCGCACCAAAAACATACACAAAAATAAACAATATAGTCCCCGGTGAAAAACAAACGATTTTTTTCCGGTGTGTGCTTTTACCGGTAGCAGTAGTAGTTATTGGTTCAACGCTGGGCTGCCTCTGCATGACATTACTGCGTATGTCTACCTATGTCTGTATATGATAAAGCATTCATGTCACTATGCAGCCGTATGAACCGGTAGGCAGCGCGTTGTATTCCGACCGCAGCATCCCTCGACGTAAAGTATGTGTTCGAGTGTACGCTGAAAATAACGAATGGACGGCTAAAGGGCCTGAAGTAGGTCGGTAGCCGTAATAACAGAATATATCGCTATAGTCTTAGCAGTACTTATTGAGCCGAATTGTATTTCGACGGGCGCCCTACGGAGTACTTTGTGGTGTATTCATCCCCGATGACGCCGCCGCCAATGAAGCTGCTGCTGTCTGTGCTGTTGTGTCCGTGAGGTCGAATTCCCACCACAAATCAAGAGAACGAGACGCGCTCAGGAAGGCAGCCAGCGTCACATCACTATTCGTCGGCTGATGGAGAAGAACACTGAGAACTTTGGCTTCGACCGTGTCGCGTCCGGGCAGAACGAAGTTTAGAGAATGATTTCCCTGGCGGCTCGATTGGTCGGGGGATAACCCACTCTGATAAAAAAAACAAGAACCTCGGAACAGAAAATGTCGGCAGACGAGCGAGCCAGACGCTGCCGTTCTTGGCTTCCTGTTTATGTCTTTTCGTTAGCGGTCAGATGTGCCTTCGCTAATACTGATAGTAGTATAATATTAGAACAGGTAAAAAAAGAAAGTCGTAGCCAGGTAGATCTAGGCGACGAGTGAGACGAAACGAACGGTCCTTAGCTTATAACGCTGATAATGATCACTGCAATCGCATGCGATTGAAATCAGCCGTTCCATAAGGAAGAACTCTTCTAGCTAAGCTACTGTAAGCCACCTGAAACAGGGCAGGATAGAAGTGGAACTTCAGCAACGCCCCCAGTAACCTTAAGTAAATAATCGATAATTTTAGAGCAAGTTTTTGAGTTCGGTTTTCGACGGATTTGTCATAGAACATAATTGTGGTTTATGTCATATAGATTTCTCTAGCGAGTTTTCCTTTCCATACATCTTTGTTACTGGTATTTGTATATTAATATAACATTATAGCCTAACAAGCGTTGGCGGAATGGATTAATCGAAGCGGACGCCAACTCGAACACTAAGGCGTCGGTGCTGCTGATAATGTTTATGGTGCTGATGGGCGATGAGTCAACTAGTTGCTCCATCAACCGCGCAGCCCTTAATAGCTTCGCACCTGTCGCTGTGCAGTGTTCAGCTTGTCGTTCTTTCGACTGTGGCTCTTTGTTTAGCCCATCAAGCCACGAACACGCAAGTCATCCATACTAAGTGAGATATATGCCCCATAGGACTCTGTTGTATTGTCGTTCGAACCGATCCCACCGTCAGCAACGCCGAAACATCGTCGTGGAAAAGACGACCAAATGAACGAGGGACGTCGTGCTAACGACAGCAAATACAAACGTACGAGTCGGTGAGATGGTGGGCTACTACGGTAGCGAAAGCAGAAGCAGAAATACATGAGTTCTTTGTCGTAACTGTCGTAGTAAGAAAAGAACCGCGAAAAACAGGTACGTCAAAGACGCACAACCTGAGCAGAGAGGCAGAGATAAACAATTGCAGTCGTCGTTGATCAGACAAGTCGTAATGGGTGAGTCGCCAGGATCGCTTGGATCAAAAGCTAGCTTCTTGTCCTCGTTTCGTTCCGGGACCTACCACAACATCGATTTCTTTGGCAACGACACCAAAATTACTATTTATGTAAGTAGCTGGATAACTCACCACGATGGGCGGCGAGGGAGGAATTCATTCCTGAAGGACGGCAGAAGCAATTATCAGCGACAATCTAGATAATCATTAGGAAATTTGTTCATGTTGACAGAGCTTCGAGTCGTGAGGATTCCCAGATTAGTTTGTTCTAGCTGATGAACCGATCCATCACGAAGTGGATTGCAACGATGTAACATACATCAATAGCATAATAACCGCTGAACTGAGGGGATGTCTCGACAAGCCTAGCGCTAACTGAGGCATAGGGCGAAGATCATTGGTTATATCATACTGGATTTTTGCCAGTGGCCATCCGATCTGTTTCAGCTAACGGTCTCTCGAATCTCTCAAATCTTTGTGTAGATACATCGATGGCAGGATGTGATCCTTATGAAAAAATTCATCGGATCACTCCACCTAACTGGCAGCGCGGTATCTTTTGTTGACTATTGTCGATCACTTCTACTCGAGAAACGAGTCAACGAAGTTGTTAGGGCAAAGCTCCGCATGACAGTCTACGCAGGGCTTCCAATTTTTCGATGACTGGCAAAGGGGATGGTCGCGCTCAGAAACACCTATCCCCTGGTCCAATCAAGCACCAGTCCGCGCTTCTAGCAAAAAGACGGAACACAGGAATCAATGTTTGCTAACCATTATATCAAGCATAATCAGACCAGCGAAAATAGTCCCTTCCTGAATATCATTGTACCTCGAATTGAATAAGACATGAGTGTACGTCTGCTGTCAATGGATGAGCGATCAATATTGCCCACGTCGCCTCCTGTGAATTATACACTGGGAATATCCTTTTTGATTCAAACATACAGTGGGCTTCTTGTGATGCAACACCTTGTAGTTATTGTGTCTGATGTTTGTGTCATTCTAAAGAGCAGAAACCATACGTCTGCAATTGGACGTGGAAATACACGTGTATGACGTGTATTTCCACGTCATCTATTATTGTCATTTTAGTAGTAACGAAAAAAGTTATAAGTAGATTACCTTCGTGGTTATTTTCATCGTTTGTTTTCGCTATTTATTACATCCGTCAGACTCTCTGAACCGCAGAAAATGTACGTCTTTTAGCTTATCTGATACGCACTTTTTGCACTTCTGCTAGGTATGGTTCATACTGCCGCTGAGAGACATTGTATTATTTGTCCTCAAATCTCTCTGGTCAAGATTGAGTCCTCGTTTAGCTTTTTGTTAGAGTGGGAAGATGCTGGGAATTGTAGAGTTTTTGTCATCAAATATCGTTGTGCGTTCTCAAGCGAGAACGACTTCGTTCACTCTGATCTCCATTCGAAAGTAGTAAAACAAAAACAACGCAACCCATAGCTAAAATCCAGCACATGTGTAATGTTCTTCCTATGTATGGAGCTTACTTCATTCGTTTTCGATATACTCTCTCTTTTTGAAGGGCTCATCTGCTTCCTATAGCCACCAAACATTGTGTAATAGCTACGTATAAAAATAACACGAAACAGCAGCACTATCAGTAGCCGGAGTTTTCTCGATCAGATCGATGTGTTTATTGAACCGTCAAAAAGTTCACGCTAAGTTAGCGAGATCACGATAGGCGTTTTCGAAGGGACCTTTTTACAGTGTTTCTCCTACAATTTTTTTTTTCAAATAAGGAACATATCCTTGACGCGTTTAAACTAAGCGTTTTTCATGCTTTATATGTAGTTTTCCTATAATTGTATTTCAATACAAATAGATATTTCAATTCCATCTTTTGCACACACACACACACACTAAAAAATAATTTTTCTCAGTAATTTTTATTCAATATTGTTTTAATTCAAAACCTAAACTACTCGATTTAAAGGTGCAAGTATGCGAACGTTTTTTCGAAAAGGGCACTGCCATGTATGGACTTGCTAGAACCGCTCAATGTGGCCATAGTGGAGCAGTGGGTAACGTATCTTACTACTTAATTTTCGCTACACGACGATCTAAGTCCGAATCTATGCGTATACATATTAAATGTCGTGCTGTGAGCCGGCCGCGTGAGTAGTATCTAATGGTTTGAACAAACGCCAAACCTAAACCTAAATAACAATTCAACGATATGCTTCTATTCTCCAACAGCCAACCCTGCACCGCAGAAAGCCTTTCTTCAGACACTTCGTCTATGAAGGGTCACACAGAAGTTTGCAAAAAATTGAGATAAACTTTGTTGTTGAGACGTTCGGCTGTGATGAAAAGTATGGAAGCGTGTCGTCCTCACTGCTCGATACATCCCCTACGTCGGGAATGAGCGTGCGATCACTTCGGCGGACAACCTTGCATCGAGGATGGGAAAAAAGGTATGGAAGAGGAGACATCAAAGGCAACCTGCTAAATCGTTCCCAAAACAATCTACTAATTAAATTCTTTGATGATCTTATTGAGCTCAAAAGCATTTGTTTGACATTTATGATGTATACAACGACCTGTACCGAAACATTCGTGAACAATCCACAATACTGTATGCTTACTTCTATTGAATTCTTCACTAATGCCCTGATCGAAGCATATAATCGAACATGTATTTCTTAACAATGTCGGTTAACTTCGGAGCGCATACTATTTTTTGTTGTCGTGACTTTTCTGTTACTCTGTGACGAAACCTGGATCCGACCCGTTTGCGGCCACGTTTTTATGTTCGATGCGGTACATTGTCGATTTGAGGAGTTTAGAACCTCGCTAACGCTTTGCCCAGCACGCAGAGATTGTATGATAGCTAATTTTAGGTTCAGTTCCAAAAACGACGCACTGTTATTCACCCTAACGAGCTTAACGTTACCTAAGAAGGGCCGGCTTCGCTTTGGTTCCAGGTCA